TGATCGTAGAGGCATTAATCAGCGAGAGAATTGTGAATGATGTCTCTGAATCCAACTCTATCGTGTGCTGCATGAGAGAGAGCATGCAAGGGAAGACCCGTCCAACTTTTAATGTTAGAAATCCATGATGTCGCGGGCCTTCCTCTCGGTCGAGATTCAGGAGTTGATCCTTGCAGGAAGGGCTTGGAGAAAACTTCATGTCTCGTAACATGGCCAAACCACATCAAATTAGCACACCCTAAATCTAAAAAAATTCAAAAATTGACTTCGGTCTGTGGGAGTCTGTGAGAGAACGCCCACTCGTGCCAGTGTGACAGATTCCAGGGCCACGTTGGGGGGGGGGGGAGGGGGGGGAGGGGGGCCTGTCCCACGACCCAGGGCTGCTTCTGGACTTGTTTTAGGTTTGGATCCCGCGCACGGACAGAATGGGCAGGAAAAAGTGAAAAAATTGTAAATGCATTTGTTTGGCTCCTGGGTGGCTCGCACACAGTGGCACTATGCCGGAATTTTTTAATTTTTCTGGCCTGGAAAGCCTGTCAGTGAGGTCCAAGAACTTTATAATCATGTCCAGAGGGTCAGCATAGTGGCAAGAGTGTGTGGTGAAAATGTCACTCAAATCCATTGAGAGACACCAAAGTTACGGTCAATTGAATGCCATATGAAATTTATGGGTAGTCATATGACAGGTCTAGGTGTAGCTATGACTGCAAAACCTGTCCAACACCAGTATTTTAATGAAATTTATGCCATACACGCAAGCACCGGACCAGTATACCATCTTACCTGGAAGGCAGTTGTCTGGCTTTCTCAGCGTTGAGTGGAGGAAGTGACGCTTGTAGGCTAAGGGAGCCATGTTGGCTTGTTCGCACACCACCAGTTCCACCCGTTTGTGTATCCTGCTCGTTTTGCAGCTTCTCCATGGCTGCGGTGAGCTCCTCCAGATTCCTCTTGGCTCCATCCAGCATTGCTCCAATAGAGTTTAACTCCTCCCGATGTAGTTTTGTGACTCGATGCTGATTCCCCAGGACTGCCTGGCATAAAGCCAGTGCCTCGTGCAAGAAAGAATTCTCTTTTAGAATCTCTTTCAATTCTTCGTCCATCATCTCACTATCAAGTCGCAGCATAACAACTGTATCCATTGTGACGTGACAACTAGGACAACCAGGCTGAGTGTGATGACCAGGATGATTGGGATGAAGACTGGGATGAAGACTGGGATTAGCAGGATTAGCGCGATGAGCAGGATGACTGGGATGAATGTGGTGACTAGGATGAGTGTGGTGACTGGGATGACCAGGATGCCCATGACTGGGGTTGTGTAGTCTAGCTGCAGATGTTATAGTGTCACTTTCATTGTCACTGCTGCCGCTGCTGCTGCTGCTGCCGCCGCTGCTGCTGCTACTGCTGCCACTTGTGTTCCTGCTAGCGCCGCCGCTGCTGCCTTTGCGGCTGCCAGCCGTACTGCGACTACTGGTGGTACAGGGTCTGTTGACGATACATTCGTTTGCTTTTTTCTTGTTTTCTGATACTCTCAGCTGTTGGGGCGATGGTGGTGCCGCTGCTGGTGCCACGCTGGGCATCGTACCACGCTTGGAGAGGTATTCACTTGATGACGCGCGTTCTCTGGCGGGTAGTCCCTCACTTGGTGATGGTGTCACTGTGTGTGCAGGCATGGTGGGCTGCTTGATCATGTCATCAGGAGATGACAAATACTGCTCCAGTGGCAATGAGAAAGATTGCACATCCCTTGCGGGAGATTCCACATTGGTAATGTTTGCCTGGCTATCATCATAGTTGGCGTCAGCCAACCCGCCATCGCTACGTCCAATCATTGCTGTTTGTCTCTTCCCAGGTGATTAGCCTCTGCTTCTCGATGCCTGACTAATAACAAGCTCAGCAAAGAGAACTGCAGGAAACAGGAACAACAAAATCTAAGAAATAATGCGCAGTTTTGACATTTATGGCTGCATATTACCATCTCTTCGGGAGTCATTCAAGTGAGAATTCAATCGCTTTCCGCACTCTTCGCTGTGAACCTTATGGCTCATAGTGTTGTTTTAACATTCTCATTGCCTTATTCCCTTATTGCCTAGCTTGGTACGTTAAAAAAATCAAGTCCAGATGTGAGAAGTTCTCTCCACAGTACCGTCTCGGTCGCTGTCGTTATTATTAGTTATTTAAATTTCTGAAGTTGGTTGTTCCTATGAGGAACACACGCTTTATGCAGAACTTGACAAGTGACTGACTCATGACTACCATCCGGAGCACCATAGCTTAGTGATAGAGTATCGCTGGTCATCAGCGAGGAAGGTCCGAACCCTGGTAGTGACAGTCAACTTGTCTTCAGACTTTTGCCCTTTGCAGCTTTCCCTCAAACTTTAAGGAATACTTCCCAGTGAATGGTGTCCAGTGAGTGATGTATTCCGTGAAAGTACTGCATGCTGCAACACTCCCATACGATGCCACGTAATGTCAGACTCCAGTCGATTTCTATTGGTTTGCAGGTTACCTTGAGGCTCGCCAGTTACAGGTCAAAGTTGGTGAAGACCTTTCCCCCTCGCCCCTATCGCTCGGGTTATCCCGACCACCAGCAGCAGCACCTCAACAGCTCCAGTCAGCAGTGAACCTGGTGATGGACTGGGCTGCAACATTTGGTGGCAGGTTTAATGCCGCTAAATCCGTGCGTGTTGTATTCGGCAAACTTGACCCCGCCCAGACACCTGCCCCAGCACTGCGTGTGGATGCTGCAGACCTATGTCCCTCGACTACCCACCACCATCTAGGAATCACCCTGGATCCCCGCCTGTTCTTCCAGACCCATATCAATATTGTCACCTCCAACTTTCGTCGTCGCGTTGTTCTGCTATCCTACATGTCACGCAATCTGACCCCTGCTCTCGTTGCCCGCCTCTACAAAGGATACGTCCGTCCCTCCATCGAGTATGCTTCACCTCTGTGGAATAACAAACGGACCGCAGGGAATATTAACACTTTGGAACGATTGCAAGCACGCGTGGCCAGGCAGTATTTACATTGTCGGAAAGTGCCCATTCCTCATGGCATGGAGAACGTGTTTGAAGCTGTTGAATGGGAAAGTCTTGCGTGGTGGCGGCACATACATTGCCTCAAACTGTTTTACCATTTCACCCGCCAATACCCGGAAACTCTCAATAATTTCAACATAGTTATATCCAAGAGTGCACGACGTCCTCACTTTTACCTCCTGCCCACTCACACTGGTCCCTGTTTCCGCTCCACTCTACTACATTCCATGATCACCACGTGGAACTCCCTGCCTACCGAGATTAGAGTATATGAAACCCGTGGTGTATTTAGCCGGGGGCACGTTAATTCCCAATTCCACAGGTATAGATTCCATCCTCGAGGTTTCCTCACTTCCTGATTACCCCTCTTCTTTACCAGTACCCTTTTCGCTTGCTTCTACTCAGACTTCTTAATTGACCTTTTCACATTAATCTTTTTATCTTAAATTTTCTTCCTTTTAAAAATTGCACCGTATTGTACACGTATTGTACACGCATATTAAATTCTCGGAGACCCCTTGATTTAGACTTCGGCCTTTGGGGAATCCCTCAAATAATAATAATAATAAAGTTACGAAGTCTGAAGAAAATGTTGAACGGCCTCTGCTGGGATGTCGACTACACCATAGCTCAGTGGTTAGAGCATCGCTGGCTGCAAGCGAAGGTCCCTGGTTCGAGTCCTGGTGGTGACAGTCAATTTTTTCTTCAGACTTTTCCCGTTTGTCTCTTTCCCTCAAACCAGTTAATAATAATGCGAATGCCCATGGTTCGAACTATTAGTTGAAGCACCCATTTGCAGAAAATAATTATGATCGTAATATTAATCACTTGCCAATAACAACGACAACAATAATACCATCAGCCCCCATTCACCGGTTTTGACGGTGCTTCACTGATGTTGAATGCGAAGAATTATATCGCTGCCTTCAATGCTATTGTGTCGCTGAAGGGCTCGATTTCAGATTTGATTACGGTTACTCTTCAACGGATTTTGTTTTCTGATTTAGCTCTCTTGCTATTACTGTACCTGCTTGTGTTAAGTCTCTTTCTAGCAGATTAGTTGTATAATAGATTGTACATGCATCATTGTAGATTTGCTGTTCACAGTCATCCCACTCAATCCCGGTATTCATCCCAGTCATCCCAGTCACCCTGGTCATCACACTCCGCCTAGTTGTCCTTGTAGTTGTCAAGTCAACATTGAGATTCTGCAGATGAAGGACAAGCAATTGGTACAGTTTCGAAACGAGAATTCCGTCTTACACGAGGCATTTGGTTCATGCCAAGCAGCGCTGGGGACTCACCTTCGAGTCACAAAACTACATCCGGAGGAGTCGAACTCTAGCGGAGCGATGCTGCAGATGAAGGACAAGCAATTGCTAGAGCGTCGATGCGAGAATTCTGTCTTACACGAGGCATTGGATCTCCCTCTCCCTCTCCCTCTTTCCCTCTCTCCCTCTCTCCCTCTCTCCCTCTCTCCCTCACTCCCTCTCTCCCTCTCTCCCTCTCTCCCTCTCTCCATGCGTCACACTCTCATGGAATTTTCTCTTATAAAATTGAATGCTTAACACTCTCATGTAATATTTCTTCCTTTCTTCGTCTTTTTGTGAGAGCTTGGACAATCCACTTGTCCAGGCAAAAAGGCAAGGCAGCAATGCCTGTTCATTCTGGCGAAGTAAAAATAAAATATACCAACCAACCAACCAACCAAATTACCTTCCGACGCCCTTTACAGTGCTGGCAACTGAAATCCGACCCATGAGCGGTGCGCTCAAATCGCATAGAAATCCCTCACTCAAGTCCAGTCACTTGAGAAAAAGTCCGACTTTTGCCGTGACTGAAATGTCGAGCGCGATATCTCTGCTACGCGACATCGTGGCTCTTCGGCGATTGTTGCATTGCAAAGCTGAGCTCTTCGGCTTCTTCCCAGATATTTCGATCGTGGAAATCCGTCAAGTTTCGAGTGAGTTACGAACGTTTTAGTCCATCGACGGTATATCGTCGATATTTGAATGTGTCCCGGAGCGGGATGCTTCATAATCCAGATGAGACACACAACTAAATTAATTTTAATAAAGCCACCCTATAAATATAAATGCAATGACTAAAACTATAGGCGCATTCACATCAAAATCTTAGCAACAAATATATTGTTACAGAACGTTTTCTCGTCACAATAATTATCAATGGAAACTCGTGACTGAAGATAAAATCAAAAATAGCAATAGCAATAGCAATAAGATTTAAAAGCTTTGGAGTGACAAACACAAGGATACCAGTAAGAAAGTAACATATCATTGATAAGAGTATACTACCCTGGGAAGTGATAAAATATTATATGGGTGAGGATATGATGGGACATTCAGCAAAGATAGCACTGTACAATGTGGCGATGTATGGGTAACTGTGGTGAGTGCAAAATTACTGGAATAGTGTAAGTGCGGTAACAATTGCCATCGTCGCATTGTACAGTGTGGCGATGGTGTGACCCATAAGGGCAGATTTCCTGCTTTAGCGGCCAGCCCCTTCCAGTCGTTTCTGCTTTTGCCATGCCCATAAGCCGTCAGCTCGCCTTGTCCAGAGCCATCGTATACATGTATGATGGCTGCGTGAGGATTGCTAGAACTGGGCTGTGCATGATGGGAATGAGATTTCTTCAGTTGATGATAGGCATTTGCGTTGCCTGTACTGTATCCTGGAGCTGCCAAGTACATGCCAGCAACCGGTTGCTGCGCTGCTGCTGCTGCGTAAGTTATTTTCTCTTTGAGTCGGATAGCCAATACTTTTTGCGATCCAGGCGAGTAAAAGCCCGAGTTATTTAAACTCAGCTATATACAGGACATATAGGCTCCCATAGGGATGGCTTTCCTCAGCACCAAGTTTTTCTCTGGCCAGTTGGTCAGCGTGGCGTTGATTACGGACGTGTGTATGCTGTGCTAGACCACTGGAAGCAACTCCAACCTGGCCAGCACCACCAGGTGGGGACTGCACTTGGACTAGTTAGTCATAGTAGTAGTCATCCTTGTCGATGTCATGTGTGCTGTTCAGATCATCTTCATTCACTCCAACTTCATAATAATTATTATGCCTCAGGAGAGTGGTGTGTATCGCAGCTGTGACTTAACAGGGTACCGGGTGTATTTTCAGCACCTCCAGCTCCATCTCCTCCAACATTACCATCATAGGGCTCGAGATCCATATGAGCAGATTGATGCCTGCTTTGAGGGCCGGCCCCTGTAAGTTGTTTCTCCTTCTGACGCCGATTGCAGAACCACACTCGGACCTCCTCCTTCTCCAGATTGAGCATGTGAGCAATTCGGCGGAGATCTTCTGGCAATGGTCTTGGCTGCACTCCGAAGCTCTCCTCCAAATATTTTCTTCGGTCTTGATCCAGCACGAGACGACGCTTTTTTTTGCGATGAGCTGGTATTGTCAGCATGCTGTTTGATGGTGTCCGGATATCAGCCACTGGGATCATGCGAGCTGAATGCCCATCAGCCGTCAGCACGCCTTGTCCAGATCTATAATATGTGACGGGGTGAGGATTGCTAGAACTGGGCTGTGCATGATGGGAATGAGGGTTCTGCGGTTGATGACGGGCCTTTGCGTAGTATGTGCTGTATCCTGGAGCTGCAATATGCATGCCTTCCATTACAAATGGTTGCTGCGCGTAGTCTGTGCTGTATCCTGGAGCTGCGATATGCATGCCTTCCATTACAACCGGTTGCTGCGCGTAGTCTGTGCTGTATCCTGGAGCGGCTATGTGCATGCCTTCCATTACAACCGATTGCTGTGCTTCTGCTGCTGCTTCGCGAGAGTTGTGAACTGGGTGTGGGTGGTGCTGGTGGTGATGCTGCTGGTAATTCTGCTGTTGTTCCTTGTGATGCTGGTATTTCAGGTGCTGGTGGCGATGGAGCTGACCATGATGGGATTCGGGGTCATGGGCAGCCTGAACTGGCATAGCGCACACATGGGTACCAGCCGTCACGGGGATGACATTCTTGGGCTGAACTTGATTCGCAATGCTGCCAGCAGGCTGCAGATCTTGTGGAGCAACAGCAGTGGGGACAACACTGGACTGTGCCATGTCCATGTCACTTCTATTGGCGGCAGGATTGTTATTTTCAGCATTGACTCGGCCACTGGCGGCTGATGAGCTAATGGCAGCGGTTGCAGGAGAACAAATTGACAATACCTCATGGTCGCTTAGCGACATCCACCTTTCAATGTAAGGACGCAACTTCATCATATTCTCGTAGCTGAGCGTCAGTTTTTCGAAACGAGAAATAGTGCTCTGACCAAAGTCTGGCGTGCCTATTTGACCGATACTAGTCTGACCAACTTCCGCTTGTGTTAGACGCAGTGATAAACGCCTCTCCTTGAACTTTGCAGCAAACTCACGCAGCTCTCTCTGAACTTCCAGTGGAACCTGCAGCAACACATATCACCACAGTAAACACCTTGTAAGGTTCTCGTCGTCGTCGTCGTCGTCGTTGTTGTTGTGTGTGTGTGTGTGTTTGTGTGTGTGTACGTGTGTGTGTGTGTGCGTGTGTGTGTGTGTGTGTGTGTGTGTGTGTTCGCGCACATGTGTATGGGTGCTTGGGTGTGGGTGTGACTCTTTCCGAACTGTGAATGTTCCATGTTGACGGGAACAGCTGTTCCCGAGTTGAAATAGCTTAAAGTTTTCAAACTATTTGGTATCATGATGATCTTGCCCAGAATAGGGCCTACCTGTGACGTGAGAGAGATAGACTTTGTGTGGGAGTAGATGGGGAATGACCAATTTCTTTCTTGTTTTTTCTAGAACAACAAACTTCTTCTCAGAATGTTTTCCATTCGGAATACAGGTAGGGTGCCATATGTTCCATAACGAAGTTTGAACAACACCTGAACTCAAGGCTTAGGGACAATTGAGAGCCAAAATGCTGCTATTCATCTACCTTGTTTATTCCTTGTTGCACGATGAAAATTTAGCATTTGCACATTTTCGTTGTGCTCACCTTCCCCTCTTTGTTCCTACCCGAACTCATAACTATGAGCCTTCCAAGTGTTAAGGCTGTTGTTTTGCGTATAAGAGATGTGTTGGCGGTAGCTGTCAAATCGTTGAATGTCTTTCGTAGTTTGGCAGTTTTGTGCCAAGTTATCACATATTCTGACCGCTCTATTCACTTGTCACAGTGGTGGGCAGTTACTCATAACTTGCGCCCATGTGTCCTGCAATGTTTTTTGTTTACATTTTTTCATACCTCAACCTTCGAATAACACTTTGATGTAGCTGTAGAGGGAAACTGAGATGATATGCTCCTACAGATATGCATCTATCAAAGAGGGGAAATGAGAAAACAACCTTGTGCCTGAAGATGCCCTGAATCTATTTCTGACATTTCCCCCACACATTGCTAACCTCATCAATGGTATGCACTGGGCTAACACGTTCGCAATAATCCATGGTTGCGGATGGCACCAATGACAAGTGTGGCCGGTGAGCTGCAGGTGGTGATGGCGCTGGCAACTGCATGGAGATTGGTGCTCGGCGCGCCTGCGACGGTGGAGACACAGCGTCACCTCTAGAATACATATGACTGTGATCGTCTTCACTCTCATAGTTAAGGGCTTGCAGTGGCGGTGGTGTGCTGATTCTCTCTCGCAAATACGATCTTTGCGGGGATGCTGAAAGAGCGCGCGGAAGTTGCTTGTAAGCCGACCGTGATGCTGGATATGGCTGTGACCTAGTGCGTGCCCCCACATTGGAGCAGAAGGCAGATGTTCCAGCACAGACACAGAACATTGTCCCAGTAAGGAGGGGTCGTCCGCAATAATCGAAAGTTTTTTCCAATCCGTAGTAGCTTCAAATTTTTCCTCACCCACCCCCCCCCACCAGTCCGTAATAAAATATTATTGATGGACACACAATCAGAGTCACCAGCGGTTTTGAAAAAGGGCTGCTTCTTCACCGCCTTTCCAAACAACGTCGCCTGTCTGGACATAGTCAATAACAGTCGTCAGCGCCAGCGCTAGACGGAAGGACTTCAAAGGAGTGCATGGAAGACGGTACTATGGACGAAGGAGACAGTAAAACTCAGAAATAGAAAGTGTCGACTCGCCGTCGAATGCGCCGAACTTTATGATCCCCGGCCCAGGAGCAGCCAAGGAAGCGCGCGCCGGGGCGCAGAAACTGCCAGAACTACAAAAATATTTGTAGTAGACACTTCGCGTGCAGCCGCACGTGGAAAACATGGGCTACACGTAGACGTACACGTGGCACGCGCACGTGTCATTTCGGAAGTTTTTCAATCCGTAACTGGCCTTGACCCACCCACCCACTTTCGAAGCTACTACGGATTGGAAAAAACTTTCGATAATTGCGGACGACCCCTAAGGACATCTTATCATCACCCGATAACATCCCATGTAGGGTGTCTACGGAGCTGAAATTCAATGGTTCCATCAAATAATCATCAGGCAACAGTCAGCCCTATGGTCATCACGCCCAAGTCCACCTGTTACTATGACAATCATGCGCAAGTCTGGCTATCGTTGTGGCGATCACATTCAAGTGTTTGCAGAATGTCCCATGACAAGATTGACTGTACATGTAGGATCACGACACAGGTTTGCCTACAGCCGTGATCATATGAGAAGTCTGGACATACATGTGGCTTTTAAGGGGGCAGCCTACCCATAAATTTCATATGGCATTCAATTGACCGTAACTTTGGTGTTTTTCAATGGATTTGAGTGAAATTTTGACCACACACTCCTGCCACTATGCTGGCCCTCAGGACATGATTTACAAGTTCTTGCGCCTCACTGACAGGTTTTCTGGGCGGAAAAACTCAAATTTCCGGCATAGTGCCACGGTGTGCGAGCCACCCAGGAGCCAAACAAATGCATTTACATTTTTTCACATTTTCGTGCCCATTCTGTCCGTGCGCGGGACCCAAACCTAAAACAAGTCCAGAAGCAGCCATGGGTGGTGGGGTAGGGCCCCTCAACGTGGCCCTGGAATCTGTCACAACGGAACGAGTGGGCTTCTCTCACAGACTCCCACGGACCCAAGTCAATATTTGATTTTTTTGATAGGTTAAGCACGTTCTATGAGGTCGTACCTATTTATTATTATGCTCTATTCGCGTTAGCATCAGTGAGCTTATAAAGCTCACATATAGCCTTCGCTTAAGCCGCTAGAAGGAGCAAGTGAGCGCGAGGAAGCGCAATGCACACAGAGCGTCAAAACAAAACAAACAAAAAAAACAGAAAGAAAGAGACAAGCTGCAAGAAGGAGCAAGTGAATGCGAGGAAGCACAGTGCACATCAAGCATCACAATCGCAAAAAAGACAAGATGGAAACGCAAAGTTATGTCCATTGTTGCATTAACGGCTACATACAACCTTCACCAGGTCCTGCCACTGATGGCGATCCTGGGCGAGCTGCTGCAGCCTGTTGCAGTCATCTCCATTATCTATATAAAAAGGTATAAATTATGTCCATTGTTTCATTAGCAGCTACATACAGCCTTCACCAGTTCCCGCCACTGTCGACGGTCTTGGGCAAGCTGCTGCAGCATGTTCAAGTCATCGCCAGTCTCTAGGGCGGTATTATTTTTCAGCTTTTTGAGATCATTATTGAGCGTTCGCGGGAGCGTTGTTCTTGGGCGTCCCCTAAAGCTGGGGCCGTTACCCCCTAAGAAGTAAGCTCCCATGGCACGTCTGGCTGGGGCTGCCTCTTCCAAACGCAGAACTTGACCAAACAGCCTCCATCTAGCATCTCTGATGATTTGGCTCACGGGGCGAGATTCTGTGCGTTTATACAGGGAAGTGTTCTTTATTATGAGCGGGTATTTAATGCCTATTACTGTTTGCAGCTGCTGCCTGTGGAACGAGTCCAATTTCCGCTCCTGTGTCCCCGTGAGACTCCATGTGCCACAGTTATAAAGCAGGATTGGTAGAATGAAGCTATTATAGAGGCGCACTCACTCGTAGAGACTCTCTGATGTGTTGCCCTCTCAGCCATATCACCCACATCCAGTGAAGTGCGCTTGCAGCCAACCGCTTTCGTCTGCCTATGTCCTCATCCACTCCAAGCATCGAGCCCAGCTTTATTGTGTGTCGCCACTGTTCCTCTATTCGATCCTTTTGTCTGCTTATCATGGTGTGTTCCGTCTTCCCCTCATTCATCTTCAAGTTCCACTCTGCTAACGAAGAGGATATTGTAGGAAGGCAATTTTTTAGATACTTTTGGTCGGTACTGATGAAGTCCACATCATCTGCATATTCCGACTCTCCGGGCAGAAGCAGCTGGACGTCTCGGTCTGGTCGCGGCGGTAGACGGTTTCGTACCTCTCTTAACGCAGCTTCCAGGTATATCGTAAACAATACCGGCGACAGAGAATCTCCCTGTGGAGTCCCATTGTATGTTTCAAGTGGCTGGCTCAGGATGCTGTCGTACCTAAGTCCTTTGATACAACATCCAGTGCTGGGACATCCGCAGCAAGCCATTTCCACAGCGCTGCACACCAAATCCAGGATACCCTCAGAAACCGGCAAAGACTACCACTCACGTTTCACTACTGCCTAGTACTGAATCCTACCTGACTTCTTGACACGACTCAAACTTGCCAAAGTCACTAAATCAACGTCAACTTCAATAATCAAGCCACATACATGTATCTGCAACGTCACGAGGGTGCTGGCAAAAGTCCTGCTGTACGGCGGCGGGCTTTGCCCGCCGCCGTGCAGCCCAATGTATGTATGTATGTATAACTCATAATCACAAGGTGATCGTAGAGGCATTAATCAGCGAGAGAATTGTGAATGATGTCTCTGAATCCATCTCTATCGTGTGCTGCATGAGAGAGAGCATGCAAGGGAAGACCCGTCCAACTTTTAATGTTAGAAATCCATGATGTTGCGGGCCTTCCTCTCGGTCGAGATCCAGGAGTTGATCCTTGCAGGAAGGGCTTGGAGAAAACGTCATGTCTCGTAACATGGCCAAACCACATCAACTTAAATTTCTTGACTTCGTTCGCTAGCCGCATCCTTGCTCCGATGATGTCATTGATTTCTTCCAGGATAGATTGGTTGGTACGCCGGTCGTGGTATGTTACTCCTAAGAGTCGGCGGAAGCATTTCATCTCGAAGGATGAAATTCTTCTCATTGATGAGGCAGATAATGTCCAAGATTGGCATCCGTATAAAACAGTCGCTAGCACAATAGACCTAACAAAACGAAATTTAGTAGGCAAAGAAAGTGATGGCGATTTCCAAATGAATTGAAGCTCAATGATCTTTTGCTTCCCTAGTGCTAAGCGTCTTCTTATCTCCACATCGGACTTGCCATCCGACGTGATTACGGCACCTAAGTATTTAAACTGGGATACCTCTTCTATTCGCTCATTGCCTACTTGAATGCACCCCAGATCACCACCGCCCTCCGGCGCTGCCATTGACTTGGTCTTGGAAGCATTGATCTGCATGCCTAGTCTTGTTGCACTCGTATCCACGTGCTCGGTCAGGTCCATCAGCTCCTCCACAGACGATGCGATTAGATCTATATCATCCGCAAAACGTAGGTTGGTCACGCACATGCCGCCGATACATACTGACCCATCAAACTCCTCCAAAGCGTCAGACATGATGTACTCCAGGAATACGTTGAACAGACAAGGCGAGAGTAAACAGCCCTGCCTGACACCCACTGACGTGGTGAACCAGTCGGTGATAGTGGATCCAACAACGATGGCAGCTTCAGTAGTAGCGTAAAGCGCTTCAATCAGGTCCACAATTCTTGCTTCGATGCCATGCGCTCTCATAATCTTGAATAGCGCTTTGTGCCAAACCCTATCAAAGGCCTTACGGAAATCGATGAAGCAATGATACACAGCCTGCTGATGGTCACGGTACTTTTCAATTAACATTCTGAGGTTGAAGATTTGCTCCACTGTGCTTCTTCCCTTCCGGAACCCTGCTTGCTCGTCCGCCAGCAAACCCTCCACTTGCGGCTGCAGGCGCTTCAGCAAGATCCTCAGTAGCACTTTGCTCGGATGACTGATGAGGCTCACTGTCCTGTAGTTTTGGCACTGCCGAAGGTCTCCAGACTTAGGGATCCCAATACGTGGCTCAAAAACGTGATTTTTTGGACTCTTGAACGGCTGGTCAGATCGGGACACAATTTTCAGAGAATGTGCAGCTATTCAAGCTCTTTCAGCTGACGTAGCACTCAATGTGAATTTACAAATTCGATTTTTCAGCGAATTTTGGGTAGTCTGCCACCTTAACACGACTCAAACTTGCCAAAGTCACTCAATCAACGTCAACTACAATAATCAAGCCACATATCTGCAACGTCACGAGGGTGCTGGCAAAAGTCGAAGCCCGCCGCCGTGCAGCCCAAAACATGGTTTTTAACGTGATTTTTGGACTTTTTTGGACAAGATTTTTAGAGATTTTGCAGCTGTTCATTCTCTTACAACTGATGTAGCACTCGATATGACTTTACAAATTCGATTTTTCAGTAATTTTACGACCAGGCTGCCACCTTAAGGTAGCAGCCTACCCAAACATTCGCTGATAAATCGAATTTCAAAATTCGTATCAAGTGCTACATCAGTTCAAAGAACATGAATAGCTGCAAAATCTCTGGAAATTTGGTCTCGATTTGACCAGCCGTTCAAGAGTTATGGCCGAAAATGTGCCCTTGCAAGGAAAGATTTTTTTGTTGCACGCTCTCATTTTTTGGCAGCACTGTATTTGAATGTGAGCAGACCGTGCGCAACCTATCGTATCATGGAAACACGTGAAAGTGTGCAGAAGTTTGCTCCCAAGTCCAAAAATCACGTTTTTTAGCCACGTATTGGGCTGCACGGCGGCGGGCTTTGCCCTGGGCTTTGCCCGCCGCCATGTAGGCTCCCGCGGTTTATGCTCGCGAAATCAAGGAATTATGCCTTTATGGATTCTCGCATTATGCTCGTAAAATCCTCATAATTTATTATTATGCTTTGGAACCCGGGGATATGTACTCACTTTGTTGTACTTATGGAGCCTCAAAGTTCGGGAAATTGTGCCTTTTTTCGTACTTGCAAGTTGCAAGTGGCCATAAGTACAACAAAATACATGTACATGAGTATCCCCATACCGAGGTGTCTATGCATGTACATGTAAGAGGTCAACATGGAAAAGAGAAAAAAATACTTCTTCTATTCATAACTTGATTTCTTTTGTACTTCAGCAAAAATGTTATTTCATTTCCAAATTAGTTTGAGTTACCTTTGAAAATTATCATGTTCAACTGTCTTCGTAATCATCATACTCGTCCATCCGATGTCACCCTGGGCCTCAACCTGCGAATAATCAGCTCATCTCTCCCGTAGCTCCACTTCTCCTTCCATCATGACCGAACATCAACTATACATGAACATCAATCTAGAGCAATATCCGTAGCCTGCAGTCATAACATGGCTGCTAAAATCCAGACTGGTCATGACTTGGTAACATGCATAATGTACAAATGTAATGTACATGTAGATCTACATGTACACGGAGTTTTGCGGACTACCCGCCACTATCTCGTCCGCCCCGGGATACCTGATGAAGGCTGATTCACTCGCATCTTCTGCTACATGTACTGCATCAGTGTGAGAAAGAACGTTGAAGAAGACGAGTTCGAGCATACAGTAATGTATTGCCATGATTTCTACCCTGCTTTTCATTGAAAACACTATCTGGATGACCTCCGAACCCTTTGCCATGATATGCAGACCACCAGCACTGATCAGGTGCATTGCACACAATTGTATAGCCTACATACTAGAACTGTGGTATAATCGTGTAGTTATGCTCCTACCTCCGAGAGGATGCCAAATTATGCTCCAAATTTTCAACCACCAAATTTTGCCAATTATGCCGGCATAATCCGCCGGTGCCTACCGCCGTGCAGCAGGACTTTTGCCAGCACCCTCGTGACGTTGCAGATATATGTATGTGGCTTGATTATTGAAGTTGACGTTGATTTAGTGACTTTGGCAAGTTTGAGTCGTATCAAGAAGTCAGGTAGGATTCATTACTAGGCAGTAGTGGAACGTGAGTGGTAGTCTTTGCCGATTTTTGAGGGTATCCTGGATTTGGTGTGCAGCGCTGTGGAAATGTCTTGCTGTGGACGTCCCAGGACTGGATGTATCAAAGGTACGACCTCGTATGTATGTATGTATAACTCATAATGACAAGGTGATCGTAGAGGCATTAATCAGCGAGAGAATTGTGAATGATGTCTCTGAATCCAACTCTATCGTGTGCTGCATGAGAGAGAGCATGCAAGGGAAGACCCGTCCAACTTTTAATGTTAGAAATCCATGATGTCGCGGGCCTTCCTCTCGGTCGAGATCCAGGAGTTGATCCTTGCAGGAAGGGCTTGGAGAAAACTTCATGTCTCGTAACATGGCCAAACCACATCAACTTAGCACACCCTAAATCTAAAAAAATTCAAAAATTGACTTCGGTCTGTGGGAGTCTGTGAGAGAACGCCCACTCGTGCCAGTGTGACAGATTCCAGGGCCACGTTGGGGGGGGGGGGAGGGGGGCCTGTCCCACGACCCAGGGCTGCTTCTGGACTTGTTTTAGGTTTGGATCCCGCGCACGGACAGAATGGGCAGGAAAAAGTGAAAACATTGTAAATGCATTTGTTTGGCTCCTGGGTGGCTCGCACACAGCGGCACTATGCCGGAATTTTTTAATTTTTCCGGCCTGGAAAGCCTGTCAGTGAGGTCCAAGAACTTTATAATCATGTCCAGAGGGTCAGCACAGTGGCAAGAGTGTGTGGTGAAAATGTCACTCAAATCCATTGAGATACACCAAAGTTACGGTCAATTGAATGCCATATGAAATTTATGGGTAGTCATATGACAGGTCTAGGTGTAGCTATGACTGCAAAACCTGTCCAACACCAGTATTTTAATGAAATTTATGCCATACACGCATGCACCGGACCAGTATACCATCTTACCTGGAAGGCAGTTGTCTGGCTTTCTCAGCGTTGAGTGGAGGAAGTGACGCTTGTAGGCTCGGGGAGCTATGTTGGCTTGATCGCACACCACCAGTTCCACCCGTTTGTGTATCCCGCTCGTTTTGCAGCTTCTCCATGGCTGCGGTGAGCTCTTTCAGATTCCTCTTGGCTCCATCCAGCATTGCTCCAATAGAGTTTAACTCCTCCCGATGTAGTTTTGTGACTCGATGCTGATTCCCCAGGACTGCCTGGCATAAAGCCAGTGCCTCGTGCAAGAAAGAATTCTCTTTTAGAATCTCTTTCAATTCTTCGTCCATCATCTCACTATCAAGTCGCAGCATAACAACTGTATCCATTGTGACGTGACAACTAGGACAACCAGGCTGAGTGTGATCACCAGGATGATTGGGATGAAGACTGGGATGAAGACTGGGATTAGCAGGACTAGCGCGATGAGCAGGATGACTGGGATGAATGTGGTGACTAGGATGAGTGTGGTGACTGGGATGACCAGGATGCCCATGACTGGGATTGTGTAATCTATCTGCAATTGTTATCCTGTCACTTTCATTGTCACTGCTGCCGCTGCTGCTGCTGCTGCCGCCGCTGCTGCTGCTACTGCTGCCACTTGTGTTCCTGCTAGCGCCGCCGCTGCTGCCTTTGCGGCTGCCAGCCGCACTGCGACTACTGGTGGTACAGGGTCTGTTGACGATACATTCGTTTGCTTCTTTCTTGTTTTCTGATACTCTCAGCTGTTGGGGCGATGGTGGTGCCGCTGCTGGTGCCACGCTGGGCATCGTACCACGCTTGGAGAGGTATTCACTTGATGACGCGCGTTCGCTGGCGGGTAGTCCCTCACTTGGTGATGGTGTCACTGTGTGTGCAGGCATGGTGAGCTGCTTCATCATGTCATCAGGAGATGACGAATACTGCTCCAGTGGCAATGAGAAAGATTGCACATCCCTTGCGGGAGATTCCACATTGGTAATGTTTGCCTGGCTATCATCATAGTTGGCGTCAGCCAACCCGCCATCGCTACGTCCAATCATTGCTGTTTGTCTCCTCCCAGGTGATTCGCCTCTGCTTCTCGATGCCTGACTAATAACAAGCTCAGCAAAGAGAACTGCAGGAAACAGGAACAACAAAATCTAAGAAATAGTGCGCAGTTTTGACATTTATGGCTGCATATTACCATCTCTTCGGGAGTCATTCAAGTGAGAATTCAATCGCTTTCCGCTCTCTTCGCTGTGAACTTTATGGCTCATAGTGCTGTTTTAACATTCTCATTGCCTTATTCCCTTATTGCCTAGCTTGGTACGTTAAAAAAAGCAAGTCCAGATGTGATAAGTTCTCTCCACAGTACCGTCTCGGTCGCTGTCGTTATTATTAGTTATTTAAAATTATGAAGTTGGTTGTTCCTATGAGGAACACACGCTTTATGCAGAACTTGACACGTGACTGACTCATGACTACCATCCGGAGCACCATAGCTTAGTGATAGAGTATCGCTGGTCATCAGCGAGGAAGGTCCGAACCCTGGTAGTGACAGTCAACTTGTCTTCAGACTTTTGCCGTTTGCAGCTTTCCCTCAAACTTTAAGGAATACTTCCCAGTGAATGGTGTCCAGTGAGTGATGTATGCCGTGAAAGTACTGCATGCTGCAACACTCCCATACGATGCCACGTAATGTCAGACTCCAGTCGATTTCTATTGGTTTGCAGGTTACCTTGAGGCTCGCCAGTTACAGGTCAAAGTTGGTGAAGACCTTTCCCCCTCGCCCCTATCTTGACGGGAGTTCCTCAAGGATCCCACCTTGGCCCCATCCTATTTCTCCTGTACATTAATGCCCTCCCGAGATCAATCCCTAATGGCAACAGGACGGACACATAACTCTATGCTGATGACACTGCGCTGGGGTTATCCCGACCACCAGCAGCAGCACCTCAACAGCTCCAGTCAGCAGTGAACATGGTGATGGACTGGGCTGCAACATTTGGTGGCAGGTTTAATGCCGCTAAATCCGTGCGTGTTGTATTCGGCAAACTTGACCCCGCCCAGACTCCTGCCCCAGCACTGCGTGTGGATGCTGCAGACCTATGTCCCTCGACTACCCACCGCCATCTAGGAATCACCCTGGATCCCCGCCTGTCCTTCCAGACCCACATCAATAGTGTCACCTCCAACTTTCGTCGTCGCGTTGTTCTGCTATCCTACATGTCACGCAATCTGACCCCTGCTCTCGTTGCCCGCCTCTACAAAGGATACGTCCGTCCCTCCATCTAGTATGCTTCACCTCTGTGGAATAACAAACGGCCCGCTGGGAATATTGACACTTTGGAACGATTGCAAGCACGCGTGGCCAGGCAGTATTTACATTGTCGGAAAGTGCCCATTCCTCATGGCATGGAGAACGTGTTTGAAGCTGCTGAATGGGAAAGTCTTGCGTGGTGGCGGCACATACATTGCCTCAAACTGTTTTACCATTTCACCCGCCAATACCCGGAAACTCTCAATAATTTCAACATAGTTATATCCAAGAGTGCACGACGTCCTCACTTTTACCTCCTGCCCACTCACACTGGTCCCTGTTTCCGCTCCACTCTACTACATTCCATGATCACCACGTGGAACTCCCTGCCTACCGAGATTAGAGTATATGAAACCCGTGGTGTATTTAGCCGGGGGCACGTTAATTCCCAATTCCACAGGCATAGATTCCATCCTCGAGGTATCCTCACTTCCTGATTTCCCCTCTTCTTTACCAGTACCCTTTTCGCTTGCTTCTACTCAGACTTCTAAATTGACCTTTTCACATTAATCTTTTTATCTTGAATTTTCTTCCTTTTAAAAATTGCACCGTATTGTACACGTATTGTACACGCATATTAAATTCTCGGAGACCCCTTGATTTAGACTTCGGCCTTTGGGGAATCCCTCAAATAATAATAATATTAATAAAGTTACGAAGTCTGAAGAAAATGTTGAACGGCCTCTGCTGGGATGTCGACTACACCATAGCTCAGTGGTTAGAGCATCGCTGGCTGCAAGCGAAGGTCCCTGGTTCGAGTCCTGGTGGTGACAGTCAATTTTTTCTTCAGACTTTTCCCGTTTGTCTCTTTCCCTCAAACCAGTTAATAATAATGCGAATGCCCATGGTTCGAACTATTAGTTGAAGCACCCATTTTCAGAAAATAATTATGATCGTAATATTAATCACTTGCCAATAACAAAGACAACAATAATACCATCAGCCCCCATTCACCGGTTTTGACGGTGCTTCACTGATGTTGAATGCGAAGAATTATATCGCTGCCTTCAATGCTATTGTGTCGCTGAAGGGCTCGATTTCAGATTTGATTACGGTTACTTTTCAACGGATTTTATTTTCTGATTTAGCTCTCTTGCTATTACTGTACCTGCTTGTGTTCAGTCTCTTTCTAGCAGATTAGTTGTATAATAGATTGTACATGCATCATTGTAGATTTGCTGTTCACAGTCATCCCACTCAATCCCGGTACTCATCCCAGTCATCCCAGTCACCCTGGTCATCACACTCCGCCTGGTTGTCCTTGTAGTTGTCAAGTCAACATTGAGATTCTGCAGATGAAGGACAAGCAATTGGTACAGTTTCGAAACGAGAATTCCGTCTTACACGAGGCATTTGGTGCATGCCAAGCAGCGCTGGGGACTCACCTTCGAGTCACAAAACTACATCCGGAGGAGTCGAACTCTAGCGGAGCGATGCTGCAGATGAAGGACAAGCAATTGCTAGAGCGTCGATGCGAGAATTCTGTCTTACACGAGGCATTGGATCTCCCTCTCCCTCTCCCTCTTTCCCTCTCTCCCTCTCTCCCTCTCTCCCTCTCTCCCTCACTCCCTCACTCCCTCTCTCCCTCTCTCCCTCTCTCCATGCGTCACACTCTCATGGAATTTTCTCTTATAAAATTGAATGCTTAACACTCTCATGTAATATTTCTTCCTTTCTTCGTCTTTTTGTGAGAGCTTGGACAATCCACTTGTCCAGGCAAAAAGGCAAGGCAGCAATGCCTGTTCATTCTGGCGAAGTAAAAATAAAATATACCAACCAACCAAATTACCTTCCGACGCCCTTTACAGTGCTGGCAACTGAAACCCGACCCATGAGCGGTGCGCTCAAATCGCATAGAAATCCCTCACTCAAGTCCAGTCACTTGAGAAAAAGTTCGACTTTTGCCGTGACTGAAATGTCGAGCGCGATATCTCTGCTACGCGACATCGTGGCTCTTCGGCGATTGTTGCATTGCAAAGCTGAGCTCTTCGGCTTCTTCCCAGATATTTCGATCGCGGAAATCCGTCAAGTTTCGAGTGAGTTACGAACGTTTTAGTCCATCGACGGTATATCGTCGATATTTGAATGTGTCCCGGAGCGGGATGCTTCATAATCCAGATGAGACACACAACTAAATTAATTTTAATAAAGCCACCCTATAAATATAAATGCAATGACTAAAACTATAGGCGCATTCACATCAAAATCTTAGCAACAAATATATTGTTACAGAACGTTTTCTCGTCACAATAATTATCAATGGAAACTCGTGACTGAAGATAAAATCAAAAATAGCAATAGCAATAGCAATAAGATTTAAAAGCTTTGGGGTGACAAACACAAGGATACCAGTAAGAAAGTAACATATCATTGATAAGAGTATACTACCCTGGGAAGTGATAAAATATTATATGGGTGAGGATATGATGGGACATTCAGCAAAGATAGCACTGTACAATGTGGCGATGTATGGGTAACTGTGGTGAGTGCAAAATTACTGGAATAGTGTAAGTGCGGTAACAATTGCCATCGTCGCATTGTACAGTGTGGCGATGGTGTGTGACCCATAAGGGCAGATTGCCTGCTTTAGCGGCCAGCCCCTTCCAGTCGTTTCTGCTTTTGCCATGCCCATAAGCCGTCAGCTCGCCTTGTCCAGAGCCATCGTATATGATGGCTGCGTGAGGATTGCTAGAACTGGGCTGTGCATGATGGGAATGAGATTTCTGCAGTTGATGATAGGCATTTGCGTTGCCTGTACTGTATCCTGGAGCTGCCAAGTACATGCCTGCAACCGGTTGCTGCGCTGCTGCTGCTGCGTAAGTTATTTTCTCTTTGAGTCGGATAGCCAATACTTTTTGCGATCCAGGCAAGTACAAGCCTACATCATTTTAACCTCAGCTATATACAGGACATAATAAGGCTCCCATAGGGATGGCTTTCCTCAGCACCAGGTTTTTCTCTGGCCAGTTGGTCAGCGTGGCGTTGATTACGGACGTGTGTATGCTGTGCTAGACCACTGGAAGCGACTCTAACCTGGCCAGCACCACCAGGTGGGGACTGCAATTGGACTAGTTAGTCATAGTAGTAGTCATCCTTGTCAAAGTCATGTGTGCCGTTCAGATCATCCTCATTCACTCCAACTTCATAATAATTATTATGCCTCAGGAGAGTGGTGTGTATCGCAGCTGTGACTTAACAGGGCACCGGGTATATTTTCAGCACCTCCAGCTCCATCTCCTCCAACATTACCATCATAGGGCTCGAGATCCATATGGGCAGATTGATGCCTGCTTTGAGGGCCGGCCCCTGTAAGTCGTCTCTCCCTCTGACGCCGATTGCAGAACCACACTCGGACCTCCTCCTTCTCCAGATTGAGCATGTGAGCAATTCGGCGGAGATCTTCTGGCAATGGTCTTGGCTGCACTCCGAAGCTCTCCTCCAAATATTTTCTTTGGTCTTGATCCAGCACGAGACGACGCTTTCTTTTGCGATGAGCTGGTATTGTCAGCATGCTGTTTGATGGTGTCCGGATATCATCCACTGGAGTCATGCGAGCTGAATGCCCATCAGCCGTCAGCACGCCTTGTCCAGATCTATAATAGGTGACGGGGTGAGGATTGCTAGAACTGGGCTGTGCATGATGGGAATGAGGGTTCTGCGGTTGATGACGGGCCTTTGCGTAGTCTGTGCTGTATCCTGGAGCTGCAATATGCATGCCTTCCATTACAAACGGTTGCTGCGCGTAGTCTGTGCTGTATCCTGGAGCTGCAATATGCATGCCTTCCATTACAAACGGTTGCTGCGCGTAGTCTGTGCTGTATCCTGGAGCTGCAATATGCATGCCTTCCATTACAAACGGTTGCTGCGCGTAGTCTGTGCTGTATCCTGGAGCTGCAATATGCATGCCTTCCATTACAAGCGGTTGCTGCGCGTAGTCTGTGCTGTATCCTGGAGCTGCTATGTGCATGCCTTCCCTTACAACCGATTGCTGTGTTTCTGCTGCTGCTTCGCGAGAGTTGTGAACTGGGTGTGGGTGGTGCTGGTGGTGATGCTGCTGGTAATTCTGCTGTTGTTCCTTGTGATGCTGGTATTTCAGGTGCTGGTGGCGATGGAGCTGGCCATGATGGGACTCGGGGTCATGGGCAGCCTGAAGTGGCATAGCGCACACATGTGTACCAGCCGTCACGGGGATGACATTCTTGGGCTGAACTTGATACGCAATGCTGCCAGCAGGCTGGAGATCTTGTGGAGCAACAGCAGTGGGGACAACACTGGACTGTGCCATGTCCATGTCACTTCTATTGGCGGCAGGATTGTTATTTTCAGCATTGACTCGGCCACTGGCGGCTGATGAGCTAATGGCAGCGGTTGCAGGAGAACAAATTGACAATGCCTCATGGTCGCTCAGCGACATCCACTTTTCAATGTAAGGACGCAACTTCATCACATTCTCGTAGCTGAGCGTCAGTTTTTCGAAACGAGAAATAGTGCTCTGAGCAAAGTCTGGCGTGCCCATTTGACCGATACTCTGACCAACTTCCACTTGTGTTAGACGCAGTGATAAACGCCTGCGATTGAACTTTGCAGAAAACTCACGCAGCTCTCTCTGAACTTCCAGTGGAACCTGCAGCAACACATATCACCACAGTAAACACCTTGTAAGGTTCTCGTCGTCGTCGTCGTCGTCGTTGTTGTGTGTGTGTGTTTGTGTGTGTGTACGTGTGTGTGTGTGCGTGTGTGTGTGTGTGTGTGTGTGTTCGCGCGCATGTGTATGGGTGCGTGGGTGTGGGTGTGACTCTTTCCGAACTGTGAATGTTCCATGTTGACGGGAGCAGCTGTTCCCGAGTTGAAATAGCTTAAAGTTTTCAAACTATTTGGTATCATGATGATCTTTCCCAGAATAGGGCCTCCCTGTGACGTCAGAGAGATAGACTTTGTCTGGGAGTAGATGGGGAATGACCAATTTCTTTCTTGTTTTTCTACAACAACAAACTTCTTCTCAGAATGTTTTCCAGTCGGAATACAGGTAGGGTGCCATATGTTCCATAACGAAGTTTGAACAACACCTGAACTCTTAGGGACAATTGAGAGCCAAAATGCTGCTATTTATCTACCTTGCTTATTCCTTGTTGCACGGTGAATATTTAGCATTTGTACATTTTTGTTGTGCTCACTTTCCTACCAGAACAATAACTATGAGCTAGGTTAGAAGGCTGTTGTTTTGCGTATAAGAGATGTGTTGGCGGTAGCTGTCAAATCGTTGAATGTCTTTCGTAGTTTCGCAGTTTTGTGGCAAGTTTTCACATATTCTGACCGCTCTATTCACTTGTCACAGTGGTGGGCAGTTACTCACAACTTGTGCCCATGTGTCCTGCAATGTTTTTTTTACATTTTGCATACCTCAACCTGCGAATAACACTTTGATGTAGCTGTACAGGGAAACTGAGATGATATGCTCCTACAGATATGCATCTATCAAAGAGGGGAAATGAGAAAACAACCTTGTGCCTGAAGTTGCCCTGAATCTATTTCTGACATTTCCCCCACACATTGCTAACCTCATCAATGGTATGCACTGGGCTAACACGTTCGCAATAATCCATGGTTGCGGATGGCACCAATGACAAGTGTGGCCGGTGAGCTGCAGGTGGTGATGGCGCTGGCAACTGCATGGAGATTGGTGCTCGGCGCGCCTGCGACGGTGGAGACACAGCGTCACCTCTAGAATACATATGACTGTGATCGTCTTCACTCTCATAGTTAAGGGCTTGCAGTGGCGGTGGTGTGCTGATTCTCTCTCGCAAATACGATCTTTGCAGGGATGCTGAAAGAGCACGCGGAAGTTGCTTGTAAGCCGACCGTGATGCTGGATATGGCTGTGACCTAGTGCGTACCCCCACATTGGAGCAGAAGGCAGATGTTCCAGCACAGACACAGAACATTGTCCCAGTAAGGACATCTTATCATCACCCGATAACATCCCATGTAGGGTGTCTATGGAGCTGAAATTCAATGGTTCCATCAAATAATCATCAGGCAACAGTTTCAGAACTTTTCTAGCACATTAAAATGTACTAGAAAGTTCTGCGTCCAAGTATTGTGCAGTGTGTGAACAGTGCTCCGACGCTCGGTCAAATCAATTATGCCTATTTCAGATTGTTTAGCTGCAGTACAGCTCTCACTATGGTCATCACGCCCAAGTCCACCTGTTACTATGACAATCATGCGCAAGTCTGGCTATCGTTGTGGCGATCACATATTTTACTGTTTGCAGAATGTCCCATGACAAGATTGACTGTACATGTAGGATCACGACACAGGTTTGCCAACACTAGGCTACAGCCGTGATCATTATGAGAAGTCTGGACATACATGTACATGTGGCTCTTTAATCACATGACAGGTCTAGGTGTAGCTATGACTGCAAAACCTGTCCAACACCAGTATTTTAATGAAATCTAAGCCATACACGCATGCACCGGACCAGTATACCATCTTACCTGGAAGGTAGTTGTCTGGTTTTCTCAGCGTTGAGTTGAGGAAGTGATGCTTGTAGGCTCGGGGAGCCATGTTGGCTTGTTTGCACACCACCAGTTCCACCCTTTTGTGTATCCCGCTCGTTTTGCAGCTTCTCCATGGCTGCGGTGAGCTCCTCCAGATTCCTCTTGGCTCCATCCAGCATTGCTATTTTAGATTTAGACTGATCCTGGAGTAGGTTCCTGACTCGATTCTGAGCCGTCAGCAATGCCTGGCATGAAGACAATGCCTTGCGTAAGACGGAATTCATATTTCGAAACTCTGTCATATTCTTGACCTTCATCTTAATTAACTTAATATCCTGTTGCAGAATCTTACTTGTGACGTGACAGCTAGGACATCCAGGCTGAGTCTGATGACCAGGATGATTGAGATGACTGGGATGAAGACTGGGATTAGCAGGATTAGCGCGATGAGCAGGATGACTGGGATGAATGTGGTGACTAGGATGAGTGTGGTGACTGGGATGACCAGGATGCCCATGACTGGGATTGTGTAATCTATCTGCAGATGTTATAGTGTCACTTTCATTGTCACTGCTGCTGCTGCCGCTGCTGCTGCTGCTGCTACTGCTTCTTCTGCTTCTGCTACTGCTGCCGCTTGTGTTCCTGCTAGCGCCGCCACTGCTGCCTTTGCGGCTGCCCGCCGTACTGCGACTACTGGTGGTACAGGGTCTGTTGACGATACATTCGTTTGCTTCTTTCTTGTTTTCTGATACTCTCAGCTGTTGGGGCGATGGTGGTGCCGCTGCTGGTGCCACGCTGGGCATCGTATCAGGCTTGGAGAGGTATTCACTGGATGACGCGCGTTCGCTGGCGTGTAGTCCCTCACTTGGTGATGGTGTCACTGTGTTTGTAGGCAAGGTGGGCTGCTTCATCATGTCATCAGGAGATGACGTATACTGCTCCAGTGGCGATGAGAAAGATTGCACATCCCTTGCGGGAGATTCCACATTGGTAATGTTTGCCTGGCTATCACCATAGTTGGCGTCAGCCAACCCGCCATCGCTACGTCCAATCATTGCTGTTTGTCTCTTCCCAGGTGATTCGCCTCTGCTCCTCGATGCCTGACTAATAACAAGCTCAGCAAAGAGAACTGCAGGAAACAGGAACAACAAAATCTAAGAAATAGTGCGCAGTTTTGACATTTATGGCTGCATATTACCATCTCTTCGGGAGTCATTCAAGTGAGAATTCAATCGCTTTCCGCGCACTTCGCTGTGAAATTTATGGCTCATAGTGCTGTTTTAACATTCTCATTGCCTTATTCCCTTATTGCCTAGCTTGGTACGTTAAAAAATTCAAGTCCAGATGTGAGAAGTTCTCTCCACAGTACCGCCTCGGTCGCTGTCGGTATTATTAGTTATTTAAATTATTTCGTTGCACTTGCCTTTCCCTCTTTGGTCTTTCCATAACCTTGAACCTTCCAAATTGGCTGTCGGTTAGCGCTACGGAGATGTGTTGAAGCTAGGTATCAGAACGTCGAATGTCTCAGTACTCTGTCAGTTTTGTGCCTAGTTATTGCACTTTCTGACTGTATAATTATAGTATCATGTCACAGTGATGGAGAGATACTCTTAACTCGTATTCATATGTCCTTTTCTCTTCGACATTTATTTACGGCTCAACATCCGAGTTTCAAATTGCACACCTGATGAGCCGTCACGAACCATACGGCGAAACCGTACGTCGTGTGAAACAACTTGTTTTGTTGTCAACTAGTCCATCACAATGTCATGCATGAGAAGTACTATAGGAGTTTGGCTTTCGGCTTGTACAATTCGTTTTCGCAAAGCTTCCCTTTCTTTACTTATCTTTGATATTTATGACCCACCCAAGTTGGGTGGTGTGCTGCTTTGCTGCTTCGAATTGTAGTTAGACCGCTTTGTCAAATATCGTACTGGTCTCGTCATCGTCCAGTAACAATCGACATTCTTTGTTCCGTTGGGACTGTAGCTTTTGCTCGTTTTCGTTGCGCTCGCCTTCCCCTCTTTGGTCTTTCCATAACCTTGAACCTTCCAAGTTGGAAGGCTGTCGGTTAACGCTACGAAGATGTGTTGAAGCTAGGTGTCAGAACGTCGAATGTCTCAGTACTCTGTCAGTTTTGTGCCTAGTTATTGCACTTTCTGACTGTATATAGTATCATGTTACAGTGATGGAGAGTTAATCTTAACTCGTATTCATATGTCCTTTTCTCTTCTGAAAATTATGAAGTTGGTTGTTCCTAAGAGGAACACACGCTTTATGCAGAACTTGACACGTGACTAACTCATGACTACCATCCGGAGCACCATAGCTTAGTGATAGAGTATCGCTGGTCATCAGCGAGGAAGGTCCGAACCCTGGTAGTGACAGTCAACTTGTCTTCAGACTTTTGCCGTTTGCAGCTTTCCCTCAAACTTTAATAGGGCATTCACACTACGTTCACCCGATCCCATGTTTCACTCGATTGGCTGGCGTTCACATCACAACATGTTCACGCTGTACACTTCACTCACGTTTCAAGTCCTCATTTGGACGGATTCTCATCATTATTACTGTGGCAACAGGCAGAAGCCCGCGACTTGTTCGAAAAAGTAATTAGTTCAAACTCAAAGATCAGGAAAGAGGCAAGGATGGAACGAGGAAATTTTATTGTTTGGTTCTTCATATCTCATGTTGTCACAGTAGATGTACCAGCCGAAATGTCGCGTCTGCTTTTCAAATGGATGACATTGTCAAATATCTCGAGCGTTGCTGATTGTCGGAGATTGAATGTGAGCCGGGACACAGGAGATGATGGTGATGAAGAGGATTGTGAGGATGCGTCTCGTTTTTTGTCACGGAGAAGGCAGTCGAGGCGAGTGTTGGAATCCAGTCTCCTCCTCAGCTCGGCAATCATGGGTTTGCCAGGCCCATTCCCCAGGAAGCGTCGTTTCTGGACGGCTCATCCTGAACCGGAAGACCAAGGGGCATGGGAGAACGAAATCAATGGCACTTGGAGCCGTCTTGGACGAAAATTCCCTGACGTTGAGGACACCAAGTATGTGGAGAAGTTCAGGATGCCCAAGTCGCTGTTTCTTGCTCTGTACGAAGCCGTTAGAGATGCCATCGATCGTCAGCCAACGCATTTCCGTACTACCATTCCAGGAAAGAAGCGTGTAGCCGTATTCCTGCAATGGATGGCTCACGCTGAGGCCTTTCAACAGCTAGCCAAGGAGTACCGGATTGGCACTTCAACTGTCCATCATATAGTGCATAGCTGCCTATCTGCTTTCTTGCCGCTTGCCCCTGACATCGTGAGGTTTCCTGTTGGACAACATGAAGTCAACACTGTTATTCGTGGCTTCGAGGCCCTCTGAAACCTTCCTGGATGTGCGGGCGCCATCGACGGTGCATTCATGCGGATCCTGAAACCTGTCACGTGTGGTGATGCATACTATTGTTACAAAGGCTACGCTTCAGTTCTCGTCCTGCTTTGCGTTGATAGTTCTGGATTTATCACGCATAGCAATGTTGGACATGGCGGGTATGCTGGTGATGCTACCGTCTTCAATACGTCTTTGCTGAAGGAGAGAATTGAGAGTCGAAACTGGCTTCCAGGTGTTGGCTGCAACGTTAATGGGGTTCCTGTGCAACCATATTTAGTCGCAGATGCTGCCTTTGCGCCGTCCCCACATCTCATGAAATGCTATAGCGAGGCACCTGCGCAGCAGACTCAGCAAATTCAGGATTTTAACTACTGCATTATCCGGACAAGGCGAGTAGTGGAAAACGCCATTGATCGCTTGAAAGAGCGTTGGACTGTGTTGTGCCACAACTACATTCGTGATCCGAACTTGGCAGCGGATGTCGCTACTGTGGCCTGTGTCCTGCACAATATTTGTGAAAGGCCATCATGCTTGGAGCGAGATGGTGTCCCGCCCGCTCATGCTGCTGTCCGTCAAGCTGCTGGTGTCATGCCCGCAGGTCAGCTGCGGACACTTTTGACTCAGTTCGTCCATGATCGTATGCATTGAGGCTATGGCACTCTCTGTGCTGTTTTTTTGCTGTGCCTTGTGCCCCTGCTTCAATACATAGGTATAACAATCATCAAATTATGAAGCTGCAGGAAGACTCCAAACTTCTCCTGATCTGCTTCAAACTAATGAAACAAAACAATAATGGAAAGGATGTTCACAAAGGGCCAACATTGTGCTTGCACACCATACCAAAATGCAAACGACGGCTGTACAGTAACAAATTTCGGATAGGCTGAGCAACTGGTGTAAAGATTACAAGCCATATTTTGCTGAAAGTGAAGCCATGAATGTCATGCTATCTTGCTGCAGCTGCTGCATATGCATGCCATGCCTTTGTTGAAACTTCTCCTGGAACTCCATGTCATCCTTCTGCGCCTGCTTCTTCTGTTCAGCCTTCTCCTTGTCTCTCTTGTCTTCTTACTTCTGCATCTCAATCATCATTCGCCAGTCATGTTCCATTTGCCAAGTGTGCAGTTTCTCTTGCATTTCCACCACTTCTAGCAAAGCAGAATCCTGGCCTGTGGTGGAGCGCCGCGGCTTCTTTAGAGCAGCCGCTGCACTTGGTGTGCTAGAGGGCGTGCAGGGTGATGTTAACTGTGTCAAGCTATCCAGCTCACCATCAGCATCAAGCATGCTCGAATCATCAAGCGGAGATGTAGGAGATGCGGGACGTCGTCTCGGCACAACCAGATCTGGGGTGCTGTCATCCTCCATCAGCATTGGTGGGCGTCGAACCCTGCCAGGACCACTGGTACTCAGTGTGCTGGATGCTACTGCCCCAGCGCTGGCAGTGGGCAAACTAGAGGCTGTCTGAATGCAGGCCAGCGCAGATGGGGCAGATTCTGGGAGAGTGACTTGGACGGGTGGTGGTGATGGTGGTCTCAAAGTCCTTGCTTGGGTTAGCGGGGATGAACCTTGAGAGTGATGGAGAGATGTGCCAGGTGTTGAGTCGCTGCAAATGTTAACAGGTTGCACAACGCAGCACCCCCTCGACTTCCCAGGGCCCCAGTTGGGGTGAGTGAACAAAATGTTATGGTACATGTATGTCCGAAAATTGCTCCACACAGCGAAAGCTGCTTGTAGATCATACGGAGCCGTCGCGTCGTCTGCAGCACTCCCAGTCTGCTGGCGTTGGTGTTTCGCGTAGAGTTCTCGCCCACGCTTCTTGGTCGAATCAACTTTGTTGTTGTCACAAGCCGCACCTTTGCACTTCTGGACAGCATCTGTTTGTCTTTGTTGAGAAGAACATCTCCCCACAACTCGATGAATTTCTTCTCCGCCTCCACAGAAAACACAGTCCGGCCCATCGTGATAGTCAAATCGAGTGCAAGAGAAAAAAAGAAGAGAAATGACTTTTGATATGGCGGAAGTAGTCTCCCAGTACTGGACTATACTGGCAGTACGAGTCGTGGTCGGCGATCCGCGACCAAACGCCAGGTTTTGATCGCGGCCACGATTTTCACGACCACGATTCACATTTCGCGCCATTGCAATATCTCCACGGATACGTGCGTCCAGACGTGACTGGGATCGTAGTGTGAATGCCCTATAAGGAATACTTCCCAGTGAATGGTGTCCAGTGAGTGATGTATTCCGTGAAAGTACTGCATGCTGCAACACTCCAATACGATGCCACGTAATGTCAGACTCCAGTCGATTTCTATACACTGCCACGGGCCACCAGCTGATTGCAAATATATATGATGAGATGGTGTAGTATTCGGTCAACGTGTAACAGACGTATTTTCGGCACTGTCAGCTCCATCATATGGCTCGAGACCCATATGGACAGATTGCCTGCACTTCAATTTGCATTTTGACCAGCCCAACAAGACAACAGGAATATCTTCCACACCTTAAATCTGGAACATGACAATGTACAGGACACGTACACGACCTATAATGTCCCCATAGGAAAGGCCATCCTCAGCACCAGGTATTACTCTGGACATTGGTCACCTTGGTATCTGTGACCTGACAGGTCACACGATAGGGTCCAGCGGATAATGCCGGCATTATGAGACTATCCGAGCATCAGAGCATTATGGAGCATTAGAAAGGAACAAGACGAGCATTATGTGAGGTTTCAGCGGCATAACGAGTTTCATAGTGGATAATGTCGGGAAATATAAGGTTTTTGGCAACAATCGGCTAAAGCCATAAGGTGCAACGCCATGTATTGTACCGGCACATAACTTTGTGATTTGTAGACACGTAACACATTTAGCGCTAATGCTACATTTACCTGACTTCATGCCATTGCTACATAAAGTCTTTATGTAGCAATGTAGTCAGGTAAATGTACAGGTGATGTAGCATGCCCAACGTTGCAACTGAGGCTGTTACACAATATCCGGAACGATGATTTACGAGGAGTTCTTTTTGAGAAATCATGGAGAGCCATGGAGGAGACTAGACGTCCGCGAAGTGAATATGAAAGAGACGAAGAGGAGTTTTCCTGTTATGCCATAGGCTCTGGCCATAGCATATCTCTAGCGATACTGAAGAAAACATTCATCTATTGATAAATTTGGACCTGGATGAAGGAGCGGCTATATACAGAAAGAGCTTGTTCCAAATAACTGCCTTTGCCGAGTCCAGATCAGCAGGCTCGAAAAGAACTAGAATTTCTCATGCACGCATCATCAAGTCGATTTGAGTGCTCAGGAGCGCCGCCTGTCTTACTTTCCTGGTGAAGCACGTACAGTTCGTCGTGGACGATTGTAATGCAAGGCCTACAGTCAAGAGCTATCAGAAAAGAAAAGTATTGTGGCCAACCATTAATATTTTGCCCCCACGCAACCTCAGGAGAAGAAGACAGCGCAAGCAGAGGATGTAGAGCGGCAAAACAACTTCTGACCATACATGTATGTTTTCAGGATTTCCGCAAATGGGAGGGATCTCGATCTGAGATCGTCTGTCAACTGGCTTCACGTGAGCTGTTTCAGATGAAGACTGGCATTTGTCACAGAGTGGAAGCAGTGACATCTTGTCTGCAGGCAGGAACACCACTTCCCATGATATGCTTCCAGCATCCAAATGACCACCAGCAATAATGGTTTCACCTCTCACTACATGGATTAGCAAGGGAAAAGATTCGATACACCCACTATTCAGCCACAGCCCTGCATCAAAGTTGCAATGGGGAGCAACCAATGGAGACTCGATCCAGTCGTGTAGTGCTAAGAAGTGGTGGAGCTCATGAGAGATATTGTAGCAGCTTCAGAGCCAGATCGACTAAATGCGTCCTTTCCTGGAAGTTTGACAATGTGCAGCCTTTCTTCCATTTTTGTTCCAAACCAAGAGCATTATAGCCTTGTTGAAGCATTATAATCAGCATTACAAGGTAGTTTTTCGAGCATTATGATAAGCATTATACGAACATTTTCGGAGCATTATCCGCTGGACACTATTGTTCAATCTGGCGAAGTAAAATAAAATATACCAACCAACCAACCAACCAACCAACCAAATTACCTTCCTTCGCCCTGTACAGTGCTGGCAAATGAAATCCGACCGATGAGCCGTGCGCTCAAATCGCAAAGACCCAACACGGGATTGTAAAACTACGAAAAAGAGACCGCTAGAATGTGAACGCACCGCTCAGGGGTCGGATTTCAGTTGCCAGCACTGTACATACATGTACATAATATTAATACAAAAAATGTCATCCACATGCTGGCCGCGTGCAGGAAGCGTGCCTGGATCAACATGACTGATTGTCATCCAAGGGGAAATCCCTCACTCAAGTCCAGTCACTGTGGATGAGGCTCCATAGAATCATGCTACGATGACCCGACTTGTATAATTTGAGATCCATTTTTTCTGCTCGTCTTGACCCTGCCTCCCCTGATTGCTACTTCCATTTTCGTATTTTTATTTTTATTTATTTTTCTCTTCATTTCTGACTCTTCTTACTGGTTGTCATCACTTTCATAATATTGGGCAGAACTGCCCGTTTGCCATGCGATGTAAAATAAATAAACAACAACAACAACAACAACAACAACTGTAGAAAAAAGTTCGACTTTTGCCGTGACTGAAATGTCGAGCGCGATATCTCTGCTACGCGACATCGTGGCTCTTCGGCGATTGTTGCATTAGAAAGCTGAGCTCTTCGGCTTCTTCCCAGATATTTCGATCGTGGAAATGCGTTAAGTTTCAAGTGAGTTACGAGCGTCTTAGTCCATCGACGGTATACCGTCGATATTTGAATGTGACCCGGCGCGGGACGCTTCATAATCCAGATAAGACACAAAACCAAATTTAATAAAGCCACCCCTATAAAAATAATAATGCAATGAATAAAACTCAAGGCGCATTCATATCAAAATCTTAGCAACGAATATATTGATACAGAACGTTTTCTCGTCACAATAATTATCAATGGAGACTCGTGACTGAAGATAAAATCAAAAATAGCAATAGCAATAGCAATAAGATTTAAAAGCTTTGGGGTGACAAACACAAGGATACCAGTAAGAAAGTAACATATCATTGATAAGAGTATACTACCCTGGGAAGTGATAAAATATTATATGGGTGAGGATATGATGGGACATTCAGCAAAGATAGCACTCTATAATGTGGCGATGTAAGGGTAACTGTGGTGAGTGCAAAATTACTGGAATAGTGTAAGTGCGGTAACAATTGCCATCGCCGCATTGTACAGTGTGGCGATGGTGTGTGACCCATAAGGGCAGATTGCCTGCTTTAGCGGCGTGAGGATTGCTAGAACTGGGCTGTGCATGATGGGAATGATATTTCTGCAGTTGATGATAGGCATTAATTTTGCGTTGCCTATGCTGTATCCTGGAGCTGCCATGTGCATGCCTGCAACTGGTTGCTACGCTGCTACTGCTGCGCAAGTTATTTTCTCTTTGAGTCGGATAGCCAATACCTTTTGCTATCCAGGCGAGTAAAAGCCCGCGTCATTTAACCTCAGCTATATACAGGACTTATAGGCTCTCATAGGGATGGCTTCCCTCAGCACCAGGTATTTCTCCGGCCAGTTGGTCAGCGTGGCGTTGATTACGGACGTGTGTATGCTGTGCTAGACCACTGGAAGCAACTCCAACCTGGCCAGAACCACCAGGTGGGGACTGCACTTGGACTAGTTAGTCATTGTAGTAGTCATCCTTGTCAATGTCATGTGTGCTGTTCAGATCATCCTCAGTCACTCCAACTTCATTATTATTATAAGCCTCAGGAGAGTTGTGTGTATCGTAGCTGTGACTTAACAGTGCACTGGGTGTATTTTCAGCACCTCCAGCTCCATCTCTTCCTACATTACCATCGTAGGGCTCGAGATCCATATAGGCAGATTGATGCCTGCTTTGAGGGCCGGCCCCTGTAAGTCGTTTCTCCTTCTGACGTCGATTGGAGAACCACACTCGGATATCCTCCTTCTCCAGATTGAGCATGTGAGCAATTCGGTGGAGATCTTCTGGCAATGGGTTTGGCTGCGTTCTGAAGCTCTCCTCCAAATATTTTCTTTTGTCTTGATCCAGCACGAAACGACGCTTTCTTTTGCGAAGAGCTGGTATCATCAGCATGCTATTTGATGGTGTTCGGATATCCACTGGAGTCATGAGAGCTGAATGCCCATAAGCCGTCAGCACGCCTTGTCCGGAGCCATAATAGGTGACGGGGTGAGGATTGCTAGAACTGGGCTGTGCATGATGGGAATGAGGGTTCTGCGGTTGATGATGGGCCTTTGCGTAGTCGTTGCTGTATCCTGAAGCTGCAATATGCATGCCTTCCATTACAAACGGTTGCTGCGCGTAGTCTGTGCTGTATTCTGGAGCTGCCATGTGCATGCCTTCCAGTACAACCGATTGCTGTGCTTCTGCTGCTGCTTCGCGAGAGTTGTGAACTGGGTGTGGGTGGTGGTGGTGGTAATTCTGCTGTTGTTCCTTGTGCTGCTGGTATTTCAGGTGCTGGTGGCGATGGAGCTGACCATGATGGGACTCGGGGTCATGGGCAGCCTGAACTGGCATAGCGCACACATGTGTAGCAGCCGACACGGGCACGAAATTCTTGGGCTGAACTTGATACGCAATGCTGCGAGCAGGCTGCAGATCTTGTGGAGCAACAGCAGTGAGGACAACACTGGACTGTGCCATGTCCATGTCACTTCTATTAGCGGCAGGATCATTATTTTCAGCATTGACTCGGCCACTGGCGGCTGATGAGCTAATAGCAGCGGTTGCAGGAGAACAAATTGACAATGCCTCCTGGTCCATTAGCGACATCCACTTTTCAATGTACGGACGCAACCTCATCGCATTCACGTAGCTGAGCGTCAGTTTTTCGAAACGAGAAATAGTGCTCTGAGGAACGTCTGGCGTGCCCAATTGACCGATAGTCTGACCAACTTCCAATTGTGTTAGACGCAGTGCTAAACGCCTGGCCTTGAACTTTGCAGAAAACTCACGCAGCTCTCTCTGAACTTCCAGTGGAACCTGCAGCAACACATATCACCACAGTAAACACCTTGTAAGGTTGTGTTGTCGTCGTTGTTGTTGTGTATGTGTGTGTGTACGTGTGTGTGTGTGTGCGTGTGTGTGTGTGTGTGTGTGTGTACGTGTGTGTGTGTGTGTACGTGTGTGTGTGTGTGTACGTGTGTGTGTGTGTGCGTATGTGTGTGTGTTCGCGCGCATGTGTATGGATGTGTGGGTGTGGGTGTGACTCTTCTTTCATTCTCCATGGTGGTCACCAACAACCAGTACATGCTGGAGTACATGTGGTGAGGTGTGTGTGTAAAAAGAAAAGAAAAATGGAAATAGTGATCCACTGGCCAAAAATACGCCACTTCAATCAGCTGGGGTAATACCAGGCTAAAATCCGTGGCGGTCAATTTATTAGCCCTGCAAGCCGTTGAATGGTGTTATCCCAGCATAAATTGGTATGTCTAACATAGCTGTTCGCTATCATGTCGGAGGTGAGTGAGTTGTGTCAGTGGTTAAGGCATGTATGGTGTGGCTGTGCACAGGAGTAAGAAAGAGAGTAAAAAAAGAATGGTTTCGTACCTGGAACCGGGTACTGAACCAAAATAAATGTAAACATAATATGGCTACAAGTTGTGAGTAACTGTCCGTCACCGTAACAATACGCAGTCAGAAGTGCGAAAAAGCCTAGTTCACATTCGATGGGGTGCGACAGGACCGCCTGACGGCATCCAATTAGAACACTATGAGTATGACCAGGAGCGCAACCGTACTACCGTAGGGATCGGGAAGCCACGGGAAGTACCGTATTTCCCCGTAAGTTAGTACGTACAGTCAAACCTCGTTAGGACGTACTTCAAGGGACTGAACAAATATGTTTGTCTTATCGGGAGTTCTTCTTATCCAGATCTGACCAAAAATCGATATGCATATCAGATGGATCGCAGGATAGTGCTGGGGTAGGCATCGGCCATTGAAAACTGAATTCCGTCTGTTTTACGTGGAATTTCTTGGAGTTTCCCAATGTATTGTACTTGAATAAAATTCTATTTTAACTTTCATGGTATCTCAATTTTTTTCACGTCTACATGACTTTATTTTGCCCGTAAAAGAGGCCGTTACCCCGTAAAAAAAAAATCAGATGGATTGTATTTACGTAAAGGTGCATGCTGTGGTAAACGTGTACATGGGAAGCATGTCCTTCTTAGCATAAGCCAGAAACAGGTAAGTACAATGACAAAGTGCAATGAATCACGACTGTGTCGAAAGTTCCTATAACGCACTGATTGATTTGTTCAAAACACGCTTGAAAGCAATTTGCACTGTACGTACAATATGACCTCGACTATTGGAAAAAAGAAGAAGAAGAAAAGCAGCCAGCGCACGCGCACGCTCGTGGACCGAAAGTTCGTACCACATGTACTCACACTGACTCACACTGACTTTGTTCAAATCACACTTGAAAATAGTTCGTCTTCGCGAAAGTTCGCTGTACAGAAGTTCGTCGTAAACGAATAATTTTGACTTGAATTGTTGCCTGGCCAACCATAGGATTGGCCTTGGTTCGTACTAATGGAAAGTTCGCCTTATCAGTGTTCGTCCTAACGAGGTTTGACTGTACTAACTTTCGAGTTTCGAACTTAGCATTTTAATTTTTTTTTAAATCTGTACATAGTTTTTTATTGGACATGTACATGCAGCAGTACAGTTGGCACCTATGACATCAGGGGATGGCCCACGCCTGGTAAAAAAACACACAAAAAACCACAATGAGAAGCTACAAAACATTAAAGACAGTCTGTGCAGTGCGGTGCGCACATGTTTGTTTGAGTGCTACGCACATGCCACAGGTTAGAAATGCAAATTGCACTCAGCAGCCAACAGTTCGGTCGATGATGGTTGAGCTACTGCAACTCTGCTCCGGGACCGGTGTCCTGGGAGGGCCATAATGGCCGAACGAAGAAGGGCGAACCCCAACCTGCATCTGATCCATGCCATTGTGATGGAGTACGGCTCATTCTTCTTGTCGCTGATGATCAGTCCGAGTCGCTTGTAAAGGGCAGTTGCCGCCTTGCCTTGGCTTCCGGTGGCACTGAATACGAGGGGAACGAAGGTGGCATGCTCCACCTCGCGAACACGCTCCTCATAATGCCGACGCTTCTCACGCTCATGCTTTGCGTATGCGGCGGGGATGGAGTGGACCGAGTTCGAACGAGCATGAGGGTTGAACACCCGAATATCAAAGAAAGCTCGCTCAAACCGGCCACCCCATACCCCGCTGGCAGCAACATCCAGCCTGGCACCATCTTCACGAATAGCCGTCCGGTGATGAAAATACTCACCGGATAACGGCTGGAGGCGTGGCTCAGTGCTGATATCATGAGCTGCTGATGTGAGCATGGTAGCCGTCAGGTCTCGCAGCTCGTTGTGCCGCAGAGACGGATAGCCACCTACTAGGCAAGACAAGGCGTGCGGGACAGTGAAGGCAGCTCCACAGGCACAGCTCTGGGGGAGGTGGGGCAGAGTCCATCCCTAGCGGAGGCAGACAGCATCTCGAAACGCGCCCTTGTGTAGCAAGAACCCATGCTGCTTGAGTGGTCGACAGGTGAGCCAGTTCGACGCACCCTTTTCGGCCCCAAGATCCATGGACCTCTGCAGGTCTCCATCCACGCAAACGTACACATCCTTGGCATGACGCTGCTCCGTCTTTCTGGCGTCTGCCCTGGCTTTAGCTTTGGCTGCCCTGGTGTTGTCCGCCTCCTCCTGTGGCAGTGTATCCTGGCTCAAAATGCGCTGAACTAAGCTCTCGGTGATGGTAAGGGAGGAAGGAAACTGGTTCACAAGGGATACTGGGGAGACAATCCCCATGCCTCCGTAGCGGCTTGGGAGCGCGAGAACTTGGCGTTCCGTCTCTCCGGGCTGGGGACGACCAAGAAGAGCGGGAATAAACGACTCAGAGATGGTGGACTCCAGCTGTTCGAGGTGCGAGGCAACGCCTGGCATTGTGCGGGCGATGAATGACCACTTGTGCCGGAGAACGTTGGTGTACACTGCGTAAGCTGCTTGTGGCTGGGTGGAGGCCACGGTGGACAACTCGCGGATCTCCTCTCGCCATGCCTTCACCTTCGCCAAAGCAAAGGAGGCCCTATACTCGGGTGATCCAACTGCGGCTCCAAGGTGTCGGTTGCCGTCCGTCTTGATGACGATATCGGTGTCGGCGAAGATTGCCCGTGCAGCTTCAGTGCATTCGGGCTTAACAAGAAGAACCGACTTGGCTGCGTTAAGGTGACAGCCAAACTCTGGACCTCTCCGCTCGATGATGTCCCACCAGGCTCGGAGGCGGGGGATCTTCCCTGCTGCGTTGGCATCATCAGCATACCAGCTTTGCAGGGCGTCACTCTCAGCAGCGACTCGGATCAGCGGGATGGTGCCCAACGCGTACATTGCCATCGCCAATGCGGCAATGGGTCGCCCTGGGTGGTACCTTCAACTGACATGATGGCCTCGCCATCCACGTAGAGAGCCGCCTGTGAACGCGATACGTGTTGATGAGAGCCGGCGCGATTTCCGGACAGAGATGACGGATATTCTGGAGGCATACCTGTCTGTTGAGCGAGTTAAACGCGTTGGATGCATCTGCAAACAGGACTCCCTCCATATCGTTCTGGTCGTAGGCGGATCGCATGGCGTGGATGGCAGCCTCTATGCCTGACTCTTGCCCTCCACACAGCTGAAGGCATCCCGCGGCATTCTCAATGGCCTCACCAACTGTGGAGAGGATGGCCTTTCCGATGATGCGGCGTACAATCTCTCCAACACCAATAGGTCGGACTCCAGGCTGCTTATCAAATTCGATCAGTCGACAGGCAACGTAGGCTTCGAGTGATACGTATGACGAAGCGATCCGTCGGGCTGTGGAGGCAAGTGCATCGCAAAGAGCATCAGACGATTTGCTGAAAGAGGTGCAAATCCGTCTCTATCCGCCTGCATCCATGCCAGATGGCCCTGCTGAGCCCTGAGTGTGGAGGGCTGCCTTCCTTATTGCATCTCTGTTGATGGAAGCGAAGCGCACAGGGTGCGGGGCGTCTGGAGGTGTACCAAATGTCACTGCTGTTGCACTGATGGGTCCGGCGTGAGGGTGCTTTGCCTTCAGGATGTCCCGGACAGTCTCCGTTCCTACCATTGAGTCAAGGCTGTGCACACTGTGACAGTGGTCAGCTGAGAGGGTGCGCGCGGCCGCACTCAGGTTTCCAGAGGTGACAAGGTTGCCAAAGTGCCTGGCGCTATCCTGGTGCTTGGGATGTTTGCTGGAGTGCTTGGAAGCTGCTCTGATCTGGTCTTGGATCGTGCGAGCTTCCAGGACTAGTTGGTTCAGGTCTCCGTTATCCCACAGGACCAAGCGATTCTGCAGGAGCCTCCGGTGTTCGCCCTGGTCCAAACACCTGTGCGGCCGCTGGAGCAAGAGTTGGGTGGCCACCATGGCTGCTTTGATGGCGATTCCTTCCGCGGCACCGCGTTCATCAAAACTCTTGTACAACGATGTTAATAGGTTAACAAATTTCGATCCAATTGTGCCGAGTGGCACATCGAACAGGTTTGCTGCGAAGTGGACGGTCTTCTCATAGGCGGCCGCTACCACTTGACAGGTGTCTGTGGCGTCCAGTCTCTCAAGGGTCAACGACCCTTCCGCTGCTGTAAACGCTGGTAGACTACATGTAGGTGTGCGTGTGTCGACTTCAACATCCAGAATATCCCACGCCGCTTGTTGGGAGCTGGACACTGGACTGGACGGTGTACGCGGGTCAGCGGGGCCACTATTTTTTATTTTTTTAACTGAATACCACAGTACCATCAGATGCTGCACAGCGGGGCGGTGGCATATTGGATGGAAGTTCTATTATGATGATCCTTTGCTCCTGTGGCCGTAGTAATACCAGCTGACTCGGTACCTGATGGCGTATCATGGCTGCTTGCCCCCCTGCACGCCTCCAACAGTGCTTCAACACAGGCGTCTA